GTTGAATGTTGGGAGAAAGAATATATATATACATATATACATACATGTATATATATATGTATATATGTATATACTAAGTTATATATATATATATTCGAGATCTGTTCTGTTTTCTATCGTAGATTTTATATTTTCAAATACTCTAAGACAGAGATTCTAAAATCCGCGGAGAGGGTAGAGAAAAGGAATTTCTCGTGCGACAACGCGTGGGCCTCTTTTTCGTTTAGCAAAATGATTCCCTTTCAGGGAATTACTTATCTGTGGCCGCAAACATTTTTATTCACCATCATGAATCACTCAATCTTCCCGTTCTACGAAGAGACATATCGATGATCTCTCTCTCCAGTGGAGATTTTCCGAAAGGAAGAGAATTTTCATTGGAATCACTTCATGATTTCGATGAATCTTTGCTAATATCAAATGAGATCTCGACTAACCTGATTCCGGCAGTGCTAGTAACGATTATATCAAAAAATGAGAAATGAAAAGAGAATAAATGGAGTAGAACTCGCGCGTTTCATACGCATGAACGTATTCTACGGATGACACTCTCTTTTTCCAAAGATATTTTTCAAAAGTTGATCTCTTCTTCGATATTCTAAAGGAGAAAATATTTTTACACTATCTCGGTTGATTGTCTGCGATACGACATGATATTTTCAAGCGCTAATTCCCTATTATATATTATGTTATTATATAACAAGTAATATTATGATGTATGTGCGCAAAGATAAACGGCCGTTAATCCTCAACAACTGCGATGGGTTCAAATCTGTTTCCAATGCAGATTTGTTAGTTTCCAATATTTTATCAGGTACATTAGAAATGTGTCTGATTATATATCTAACGATTTCTTTTGATTCTGTATAATATATTTTTCAAATTCTTGAACTGTAACGAAAGAAAATAATTTGTAACAAATATTTTCCATATAATTGCGTAATAAAAATCAATTCATTTTATGTACTACTAGTAATTTATAATATGTAATATTATATGCTGTCTTTCTCTCTCTCTCTCTCTCTCTTTCTCTCTCTCTCTCTCTCTCTCTCTCTCTCTCTCTCTCTCTCTCTCTACTAAAAATTACTTATCAGTAGAAAATTATTTGATGATTGATTCTTTGTCGATTCTGTGTTGAATGTAGAAATATTCTGTTATAATAATAATCAGTGATAACCTTATTATTGGATATAAATTGGCCTCATCGTAGTAGTTACTTCATTCAAACATATAATTATAGTAGTTGAGGATTAAAATCGGTCTCCTTCCGCTGTGAAGAGCGCCAAACTGTTAAGTGTCTTATTGTTCAGGCAAGCGGCTGGACGAAAGTAGAATTTCGAAATAACGCCATTCGATGAAATCCCAATTATGTCTGTATGCCAGTTGTCTGTTTTTAATATCATATAAACTCGTTTTTTAGACGGAAAAAATGGCCTTTTTTTGTAATTTTTGTAGCCATTTTTTTTGTATTACATTTGTCACTTGAGAAAAAAGATACAAGTGTATAAATCACGTGAAATGGCGTAACTATTATTTTCCTAATTTAATTATTTTTGGAGACTAAATGATCGAGTATTAATATCATCTTCGTGAAGGTAATTTCTACAAAACAAATTCATATAATGATAACAGAAAATAAATTGCAAAGCGGATGAAACTCGAAATTCTACTTCGTCAGTGTGTAAGCATAGTTTTAGTGTGTGATCGATTGTTTCTTGTACGACGTCTCCCACTCTATATAGAGACGCGTCATGAATTCAATATTCATCATATACTTATCAGAGTAAAACTCGGTGCAGGTTCACTCGGAATTGTTCATAAACGGAATTTTTCATAATATAATGAGGCATGTCATCATATTACAATTATGTAATTACAATTATGTAATTATGCAGATGATATTACACATATATATAATATTCAAAATTTATTTTAATCTATAAAATTAACACAATTATATTTAAATGAATATCATTACACTTAAAGATTGATATTTTTAATATTATCTTTTAATGATATCTGGCATTATATTCTCGCGTTTTAAACAATTTATAATCCACGATATCCAATCGATCGCGCATCGCATTAGAAATTGCATTCTACAGACAATTGTGTTCCGTGAACATTTAGCTGGTAAATGTAAATGCATCGAGTTGTGTACTCGGTTTATCTGAAACATAACATATCCGGGAAACATAATTATGACGAGCTTATATTTCGATTTTGTAAGCACGCGATAATGTTTTTGTAGTGAAGTTTGTTTTTATCCGTATCGAAAATCGGACTGACCAAAAATTATATCGATATCAATTATCTTTGTTTGGAACATGAAAAGATACGAACCCGCGCTCGAGTTCACTCAATAAAAATATCACGAATCAGTACAAACTTACGCTTGTCGTGTATAACTCTTCCTCCTCTCGCGCCGTGGTACGAATATACATTAATGTACAAAACGAAACTTTTTTTACTGTACTTGACGACAGTCCAGGCGTTGCTCATTATCAAAAAAGATAGAGCAAAAAAGGGGGGAGAGAACGCCATGCCAAGGCGCTGCACATCCTTTGGAGAACACCCAAAGAAAAGTCGATAAGAAAAATCGAAAAAAAATGTCATCGAACGCCGTTCTGTCCAGCCATTGCCGCCTATTGTTCAACTGTACATTCACACAAATATGTAAAGAAATTGTTTCGCAGAGGAAGAGAGAAGCAAATAAAAAAAAGATATATATATATATATACACACACACACACACACATATACATATATATTAAGATGTAAGCACACATGCACACATGGCATACATGTACACACATAACAATAAAGAATGAGGAGAGAATGAGAGGGAGAGAAAGAGTATAATGCGACGAGTCAAAACTATGTATTGCATAATGAAATATTACGAGCCACGTGAGCAGATTTCGGCGAGTAAGTAGAATAAGTAAGCGTAATATCAGACGCACATTGAGACGAACAACGGATTTATGAAAGATCGCCAAGAACATTTTTTGCTACTATAAAAAGGGGACAAGATTATTTTAAAAGTAATATGCTTGTAAATGGAATATTATGAGGGATAAAAACTTAAGATTTATCAATTCTTTCTTTGATTGCTTGCGTTATGTATATAAATTTTAGTAACATTCTGTTGTATATTTTACATAGTGGACAAGAAATTTTAGCAACTAAGAAATCCACTCTAAATCATATAAATTAAAATATTGTTGTAGGTTTTATTAAGTAATTATAAGTCACTGATTTATTTGCTTATATCAATATATTAAAATAAATTGTTAAGTTGATTTTGAATAAATTCTGATATTCCGCGGAATTAA